TTCAAGAAGCACACTCAGATACTATAACTCTAAAAGGTACATCAGGTTTACACGTCTTAGCTGAAAAAAATAAATCCAGTGAAAGTTTATCGCATTTATCCACTTTCTTTACTAAACCTAGCAAGTTAAGTTCTCAGCATAGGCCCTTTGCTCTTGCTTTACTTTTTGCAAATTGATACCGGTAAACTTATCAAACACAGAACGGCGCTTTTTCAAAAAACTGGCTTTTGCTAAGCAATGCGAAACCTCCCTCTTTATCTGAAGGCACCACACACAGATCATTGTTGGTTGGAAAGTTCTGCTGTCGATTAGAAATTTCACTGCGGACCCAGTCACTTGGGACGGATCCCCGGTGGATGAGTCTGCTGATTTGCACGCCTGTGTGGACAAGGTGGATAGTACTTGCTGCCTTTATTTCAAGCACAGCAAGTTCTTCCATTCCATTGGAGGGCCAGGCAGCATCCACAGGCTGACAACAGGGAGTTATGTCAGCTTACCATTTTGTACAAAAGCAAGTGCACCCCGCTGATTACACAGGCCACGGCATCGCTTCACATAGATTGTCGAACTCACGTTTGATGCATCTGCAAGCCAATCTGTACGATGTTTCCAGCTATTGTGATAATGATGTATGTCTCATTGTAGTGTCGTGGCCACCTGGCACTTCTAAGCATTTTTGTTTGTTTGTGACATATCTGTGGGATCTTTTGTTTGTGACAACGTAGAGCTGAACCCCAGAGCCATGACTAAATCCCAAGAAGAGAAACTTGAGCTCGTTGTTTGCACTGTTTCAAGACCTGAGGCCAACTGTGCCAATATTGTAGAGAGCGTTATTAAGCAATGCAGCTTCACGAGACCTTGAAAAAGGACCTCGAGGCAGTTTCTCGGCACTTGTCTGAGTTGGAAGCCAAAGTGAGAACTCGTATAGATTGTACCTCCTAGCTTAACTACAGCGATAACCTTAATAAGATTATAACACACATTATGAAGTCAAAGTATCGAAGGAAGTTACGGTTGACGCATGCACTACACATTCGAATAACATCTCAATAATTCAAGACAAGGTGAACGACTTGGAGAATCGCTCACGTAGATGCAACCTATTGTTTTTTAGAATTTCTGATACTGATAAAAATGAAAAAAAGGAAACATCCGAAAAAATTGTGTTGTATTTCTGCAGTAGCAAACTAGGCCTAACTGTTTCTTCGGTTGCCAGGGCTCATCGGTTAGGGCCCTTTTCCTCGGGCAAAACCCGACCTATAATCACTAAATTTTTAAACGACAAGGAAATCGAGACAGTCCTAGGTCATGGTTTCAAATTGAAAAACACTGCCTTTAGTATTTCACGTGACTTTTCTGAGGGCATGAGAGTGAAACATCGCAAGCTTTTACAATGTTCCAAGGAGATAAGAAAACGTCTTGTATTCGCCAAGCTACTTATCAACAGTGACATGTACAAGTGGAACTCCAAAGCTGATCATGCAACATGTGTATCATGGTCCATTAGCAATTGACGCACACGCAGCTCAACTTCACTCTGCCGTTCCACTTAATCTGCATCAGCTAAGATCAAACATACATGCGATGGCAGTATCACCTTCTTATTTACAAATATCAGAAGTGTGCTCTCAAAATCTATTGCCTTATCATCCATCATAGATTCATGCTCAGTGCCCTTAGTATTACTTAGTGAGACATGGCTTGGTGACACCGTATCAGACGCGCATATTTTGAACAGTTGGTCCTCGTTTACAATTTTCACTGTGATCCTAAGCAGAAAAAAAGTGGTGGCGTTCTTTTGGCAGTTAAAAAATAGTTTATATCATCAAATGTTCCAAGTGACACTTTTTTAGAATGCTTATAGATGACTGTGAATTGTGGCTTTAACCATTTGTTGATTGGTGTATATTATCAACTACCTAACATGAGCGCCACTTTCTCTGAAGAATTCCAAAAAATTCTCTATGTTCTTGTTGATCGCTTTCCTATGTCCTCCTGACTTTCGGCGATTTTAACTTTCCTGGAATTAATTGGCCGATTTTATCTGCTTCTCGATCTCTAACAGAAGAGCACCACTTTCTTCAAACCTGTCTCAACTTTTCTTTAATGCAGCTCATTACTAGTCCGACACGTAAGGTGGTTTCACCTGCAAATATTCCTTGACCTTATTCTAACTAATAATCCCGAAATTTGTGTTGCTTTGTCCCAAGTGGATGGTTTGTCAGATCACGACATCATAATCGGCAAGCTTTCAGTTTTACCTATCAAATGTCACACTATGAACAAAATTATACGATGTTACCAGAAAGCTAACTTCGATATAATCAATTCCGAGTTATCAACTTTTTCTAATGTATTCTTAACCGCTTATTTATTAAAATTCGTAGAAAACTGGAAGTGGTTAAAGAGCCCACTTATCAATTTGATTTGTTTCAATTTGATTTGTCTCAATAATAAAAAAAAAACATCTGTATAGGAGCGCTGATAAAAACTGTCTATCGCATTCATGGAAACGCTACCAATTGTTTGAAAAAGCATACCAAGCTTTGTTAAAAACAACACAACGCTCTTTTTTTGGTAATGACTTTTCTCTCTTCTTGCAAATAACCCGGGACGTTTTTGGCGTGTTCTCAACCCACACAGCCATCCTGAAATCGCCCTTACTAATCCAAATGGAGACATTGCGTCCGACTATGAAAGTGCTCAATTACTTAATGATGCTTTCTCCTCCGCTTTTACACGTGACAACTTAAAGTCCAGCCCTCCCATAAGTAATTGTACTGCTGTATCTATGCTTGAACTAAGCATCAGCGAACAAGGAGTTTACTCATTATTAAATATACTTAAGCTCTCTTCCACAGTTGCTCATCAAGGGTTAAGAACAAGATACTGAAAAATATCTCACTAAGCCACTCATTTTGTGTGCCCTTTTCTCCCAATCCTTATCAACTCGTATCATTCCTCAGGACTGGCGAGTGGCCAGAGTTATTCCCATTTTTAAGTCCGGTGGTCGCTCTGTAGTGCTACACTTTTGCCCAATCCCTTTAACTAATACAGTCTGCAAACTACTGGAACATATCATTCACACTCAAATCATCAACTGTCTTGAGGAACACACTATCATCTTTAAAAATCAGCACGGTTTCCGCAATGGATGTTATTCTGACACTCAGCTCGCCGGTTTTGTACATGACCTGCACTCCTAACTAGACTCAGGTTTTCAAGTTGATGCTGTCTTTCTCGATTATTCAAAAGCTTTTAATAGCGTTCCCCATCAGACCTATACTAAAACTAACCCAACAAATCATTCACCCCAATGTTATTTCGTGGATTAAAGAATTTCTTTCGCACAGAAAACAGTACATAGTCGTCAATAACTCTCATTCTTAATATGTGAACGTAACATCAGCTGTCCCCCAGGGTAGTATTTTAGGTCTCTTGCTTTTTCTAATCTACTATATTATTGATTTGCATAATTGCGTGTCCTCCCATATTAGACTATTCGCAGATGATTGTGTACAATACCGTAATATATCTAGTAATGCCGATCACGAGCTCCTTCAATCCGACCTTGTCAATAATACTACTTGGTGTACCTCATCGTTCGTGACCCTTAATGAATCCAAAACCAAGCTAATGTCATGTACCCTACACAAAACTAGCAGACCAACATCTTTTGTCTTAAGTAATACCGAATTAGCTTTTAGAAGTAGTTATATATACGTTGGTGTTTACCTTCAATGAGATCTCGCGTGAAGTTATCATATTAACGTCACCCTTGCTTCAGTTAATCTTTCACTCGGTCTTATCAAACATTCGCTAAAAAATGCCCCTCCCTATATACGTAAGCTCGCCTACTTGACTTTTCTTAGACCTACAATCAAATACGCTTCAGCTATTTGGGACCCAGGTTCAAGCCTATCTTATTCAGAATATTGAATCCTTGCAAAACCATGCTGTGCGTTTTATTTTTTTCAGATTACTCACGTCATTCAAGCATCACTGCACTAAGCGATTGCGCTGAACTTCAACCATTATGCCATCATCACTAAGCAGCTCGCCTTTCACTTTTTCATAAAACATACCATCATACAATTTTTCTGACAATATTTTTCAGCACCCTGCAGTCATTTTTCCTCGCTGTGATCACCAGTACAAAATCAAACGAGCCATATGTCACACTCATCTTTTCGCTAATTCTTTAATACCAAGAACTGTCATTGAATAGAACCATTTACCATCTCACGCAGCTACCGAAAAAACACCACGAAATTTCAAGTTATTCTACACACTGAGCGAATTACCTAAATGTGGTGTCCTACGTGGTTTCTTTTTTTTATATAGTGTATCCCTTTTGTTATCTCTGTGTCCTTCCTTGCAGATTTCGTGTATTTCATGTACCCTGTTTGAGAAGGCATTTTGTAACTGCCTTCTGTGCTTGCACTTCTAGCTTTTCACCACTTGTGTCTAGTTACTTCACTTACTAATTTCAAAGTATGTTGTAGTTTGCATTTATTTCTTTGCCATTGTTGTTGTTTTCTTACCGAATGTATACCAGCCAATTGTCAGGACTGTACTTTTTACCATGACTTTCACTTCGTTACTTTGAGAATTTATTGTTATACATGTCCTCCTATGTAACACCCTCGTCAAGAGCCTTTAGGGGCATTATGCAATAAATAAATAAATAAAGATCCATCGCATCTAAAAGCGCATCGCGCAATGGAGCAAGTAGAGGGTATCGGCAGCATCATGGAAAAGCTGTAATCGTGTTTGTTGCGACCAAAAATAGTTTTCCACCATACCATGCCATGTAAAAAGGCGGACTAGTGAACTTTGACTCAGTTGGCGCGATTCGCAGTCATATATGCGCAGCAAGGCGCAGGAATATGGAATTGTAGCAAACTGGCACAAATGGCGCAGCTGGATCATCACTGCTTTGAATACCATGCATTTGTGCCTGCACCCTTGAGTGCAGTGAATACGCAAGTGGTGCTCACCTGAAGGGAGAAGGAAAGGTCAAGCTCCGTGTCGAGCAGTCCACTGTTGGGCACTTGAATGTCATTGGAGCGCAGGGTCCGCTTGGAGCTCTGCACCATTAAAGAGATGAGGTAAGCGAGCGAAGCTATTTCTGCCATCCTCAGATGCCAAGTGAGTCCATCATTATACCCAGCACCCCGAATCCTGATACAGGATACCATGGGCAAATTACACGTGGCTCCAAATGACAATAGTCACACTTAAAACAGGTTTTCAAGTCTTGCTACAGCTTCATTTTGGTCTTCAAGATTATGCCAGAGACTTCAGTGTTCATTTTTTATTGCGGAGCACTTTATAGACGCACCTCCTCGCAAATCCGACTCGGCGCCAGCCACCCCATTGCACAGACTGATGCAGGCAGCGTCTGCTAGTAAAAACGGCAGACACCAGCGTGCGAGCTTCACCAGGTAGCCGTGGCGAAACTCTATGACAGGCTCTGGGGGCACCTCGTGGTGTTCACGGACGCGTCCATTCAGAGAGCCTCCATTCAGCCACGGCTGCCTGCATCATATTATCAACTGGGACAACCGTACGGTGTCGACTTCCCTTTTACTGCAGCTGAATTGGCCAGTCTTCTTCACTTGGCAACTCACTGCCTCACTGCCAAGTAACTCACGCTACCCGTGGCGATTCTGTGCGACTCCCGACCAGCTCTAAAAGCACTGCTCCGACCAGACCAAGCAGGCATGAATGTGGCACTGCTGCATGCCAAACTGACTGACATCAAAGATAGCGGCATGCGCCTGTCCCTCCACTGGCTTTTCTCGCACATTGCAATAGCAACGAGGAAGTTGATGCTGCTGCTCAGGCAGCACACCACTGCGACAGACCAGTCACCAAAGCAGTAGCCCAGTCAGATTACTCCCGGCAGTGACTGCGGATGCTCCTCCCAACAGACCACGCTAGCTGACACGCAGGTGGCAACCAGCAAACCTCCACCATTCCTTTCGGAGACTGGCGTGGACAGATGCGAGCGATAATTGTTGGTTCCCCAGCGTACCGGCAGCACCTAGGCTGCGGCGCACATGTATTCCACGAGTCGTTCTTCATTGCTTACATGGTGAAAGTGTGGCGAAGATAAAACGCTCCAGCATATTATTTGCTCCTGCCCTGACCTGGCCACAGGCCTATGCGTGCTGGTGAGCCGTTATCATTTGCTTGGTCTGCCTGCGGCAACGGTGGAAGACATCCTTTTTCCCACGTGCTCGAAAACGCAAGCCCTTCAAAGCCTTGCCGAGTTCAGAGACTGCGGACCTCGCCACGTTATAGACGAATGCTTTCGCTTCATTCTACTGACCGTGCTGACAACACTCTCTTTTGTTATTGCCTTTCACTTTTTTTTCTCCTCTCTTCTTCCTATCAACTTGACTTTCCCCTGCCTCCCATCCCTAAAGCCGCTAAGCCGTGCCCTTGCGACGGGAGGCAGAAAATAGTGCCCCTTTTATCTCTTCCTGTTCCATTAACCTCTCCCTCTCTCAATGCCCCCCCTGTTCACTGGCCATCCTGTATATGTAGGCACTAATTCGCACATCATTGTCTCAGCACTCGTTCAAGGCAATGCTTATTCATTCAATATAAAGGAATAAAAGATATGAATTAATAATTAAGCATTCCCAAACCTTACCCCATCCCGCAACATTCACACGATACCCCTGTCGTGTATTCGATACCCGAGCCCTACACCCAGAAAGTTCATGTTTATTTTTACCGTTCGTGCCTCCTTCTTCCTTCCCTTATATGTTCTTCCTCCATGATGCCGCTCATATACGCAATCATTGGCAACATATTCCCAACGGGCCAAGGCGATCACTAGGCAGTCTAGCTACTCTGGATCACTTGTCTCGCTGACTTGCCTTCAGAATATATGCTAACTGAACCAGTCGCTTTCCTTGCCTTTCCAGAAGCTAGTCACCCTAAAGCATGCGCGCAATATTGTTCTCTCTTGGGTGCTTCCCATTCAGCTATTGTAGCACTGAACGTGTGCTGCCGTCAACACAGGAACACACTTCGCAGCTCCCAACAGCGAGGCCTCCGGCGTTTAGGCTGTAGCACAAATGAAAGTCTCGATGCATTTCCTGTCAAGCGGGTGATCCCGTCTGACCACTCTTCCCAATAAAGACCTCCCCTGAACTTCCTCTGGACGACTGGTTGGCTCTGGAAGACAAGCAACAACTGCATCACATCAGCCTTGAGCTTTGAACCTTTCAGCAGGGCATCATTCTGGTAGGGACGACCTAGCGTGTACGTTGAGGCGTCAGACACAGCACAAAGCCTTGGTGTGACAGCATTTTCGTGAATGACTACATGATAAGCCGCCGAGTAGCCATCGTCTTGTGGCTGTGGTACTTCCAATCGCCTTGTCTGTTTTTTGGTAAACACTACTTCGATTACCTCGGCACGGTGCCCATACAGTTTAGAACGTTTCTTGAGCCAGTCCAATTGCACTTGTGGATAGCCTTCTCCCAATTTTCAATGATCGCTGCCTGAATGTCTACCCGAAACTTGTGGTAGTAGCAAAACCTTGTAGCAGCCATCAAACTTGATGATGCCCTGTTCAGATGCATTAAGTTCTGGTGGAGCCTTGATCTTTTTCTCAGCAGGTGCCTTGATCCCCATGACGTCGAGACACCACATTGCAGAAAGATCATAGTCAGGAATAAACTTCGTGCCACAGTGGAGGAATAGAACGCTCGTGGATGCTGAACTTCTCTTGCGTTCCATGGTGCCCTGAACGGTTCAGCCGAACTTCGTGTCCATGGCCTTAAAAATCAGCGAACAAGCGATCTACCCTTCCAGTTGCTACCTTCCAGTAGACGTCGGAACCAAGTAAGACACTTACTTCCTGTGGGTGCCAGGTGCCGGAATGAAAATTGCTTGCAGCATCATAGTTCTTGTCGCACAAAATAAGCTGCAAAACATCAGTACCGAGCTACAGGCTTGTAACTGTACACACTTCGGGTACCTCCAAGGCCTCCACGGTTATCACCATGTCCCTACATTGGCGTCGTAGAGTCAAAGCTAACAGCCTGATAAGGGTGTACAAGAAATGCTTTCCGTACAAACAGCTCAAGCATACGCGCAAAGCCAAAAAACCGTGGCTGACTAAAAGTTGTCTTAATGAAATAAAACGTAAAAATAAATTGTTCGAAAACTTCCTGAAAAACAAGAACGAAGAAACGCTTAAACGTTTCAAAGCCCAGCGAAATAAAGTAAACAGCCTGTTGCGTTACAAAAAGAGAACGTACTTAAACAGCATCTTCAACAAAGATGTAATGAATAAACAAGACTTGGCTTGGTCTAGACTAAACGAATTTCTTGGCCGTAACGGTGATGACTTCAGGCCTACTGAGCTTGTGATAGACGGTGACGTTATTTGTAAGGATGATTTAGCAAACTTATTCAATAACTATTTTGTATCGCTAGCGAAGGAACAGTACAATTCAGCTTGTACCACATATTTGTCTGACAGTATATCTGAGAGCGCGTTTCTGGCGCCAACAACAGCTGGTGAACTTTCACATGCTTTTTCGTCTGTGAAAAACAGCACGTGTTGTGACGCATATGACATACAGATTAAGCCCATCAAACACGTATTAGATATCATTGCTGAATTATTAGAGCATATCTTTAATCTTGCTTTTTCCACCGGAATTTTCCCACAAAAGTTACAAGTTGCAAAAGTGGTTGTGCTGTACAAAGGAGGAGATAAAAATGCACTAAACAATCACCGACCGATATCTATACTTCCAGTAATTTCAAAAGTTCTGGAAAAACTAATTCAAAAGCGTATGGTTTCTTTCCTAGATAAGCACCACATCATCACTCCTTCGCAGTTTGGTTTTATCAAAGGCCGTACGACTGAACATGCTCTTTTAGAACAGAAAGAATTTATACTAAATGCTTTTGAACGCGAACTACACACTTTAGGCATCTTCGTAGACTATTCAAAGGCGTTCGACACAATAAATCACATTACGCTGCTAAAGAAATGTGCACACTATGGATTTCGAGGTGTTTTCTTACAACTCATTGAATCATACCTAATGTACCGGCAGCAGGAAGTAGTCGTCGGCAATTGTACCTCCAATTTACTAAAAATTTCAGCGGGTGTACCACAAGGTAGCATATTAGGGCCTCTGCTTTTTTGTATATACATAAATGATATTGTAAAAATTGACACGTCTGTAAAATGTATTATATATGCTGATGATACAACCTTGCTTCTTACTGCTGAAAATTATACAAACTTAGTTAATGATGCAAATGAGGTACTGGCGAAGTTGGCCACGTGGACATGCGTTAACTGTTTAAAACTTAACACATCAAAAACAAAAGCTGTATATTTCAGGCCGAAAAATAAACAAACCCCTTGTCGTGTCCCATTAAAACTTGGCAGTTCAGAACTTGAGATAGTACAGCGTATTAAGTGTCTGGGAATAATTTTCGATCAACACATGTCTTGGAACGCACACACTGAAAAACTATGTGGCACTATATCAAGGATTTCAGGCATATTATCCCGTGTGCGTTTCTCGCTACCTAAGGCAGTTAAACTTCTCATCTATAAATCCCTGTTTTTATCTCACGTCAACTACTGTCATCTGGTTTGGGGTACGACAACTCTAACAAATATCCGCAAACTGCACGTCATACAGAAAAGGGCTGTTCGTGCCGTTGCAAATGCTCCATATCGCAGTCACACCACTCCCATATTTCACGACATGAAGCTGCTACCTCTACCTGAATACTACCGCGCAATGCTTGTGAAACGCTACCATGCAGGATTAAAAGGCGACAACCTTTTAGGAACCATTGCCATCCTAAACCACCGCAAAGTTCTTTATAACACGCGTTTCAATCACACATGGCTTATCCCGCGCACCCGCACTAACTACGGCAAAGAAATGCTGCGCTTCCTCCTGCCGTTTCACTTGAATGCCATATTGTCTTCCATTTGAGTGACTGTTCTGATTGTAATTGTAGTAAGCGTATGGGCACATGCCCCATATTTTTTTTATTTTTATTTTTTTTACTTTGGTGCTAATCTTGC